AAGTAAGTCTATCTAGATATGAATGGGTAAGGTCAACTAACCTAACTCCTTTAGAGGCTCCCATCGTGCGCTCAAGTTCAACCATAGTAGAAGATACTTAGAGCTCTATTCTCATACATGAGGGTTACCGGGTTACCCTTCGTAGTCTCATGCTTAATGATAAATTTCTCACGTAAGCGAGAGGGATGAATTGCACGAGCTCCGAGATCGTAATCCCTCGAGTGTCACCTCCCTCCTTCTAATCGTAAGTTAAGGGATCAAAGTGTATGTAGGCTAAAAAATTACTCTTGTATATGTGCTAGTGTGTGCAAAAAGGCCACACTTCATATACAAGCCCAAACATTAAATTAAAATGCACAAGAATACAAGCATATCAAGATAGAATAAAGATAATTCTCTAAAAGCAAGAAACATCATAGGCTTAATCTCTAAATCTCTAGTGGAGTTGCTATTATATCACAGGGTGACCTTTTGACGATCGCAAAAATACATAAATATGTACAAGTAAGTGTTGAGTCGCCACTCGCTTTTAAAAAAAATGAAAACTTAGAAAAACTTGACACCGGTTTTAAGAGTTCTAAGCAAAGAGGTTGATTACATAGTTGGGGAAGACTAGAGTCATCCTAGTATACCCTCGACGTGGGGTTACCTTGTATTTCTATCATAGAAGAATTGAGTCATGCAAATTATCTTTTCTAACTTGATATACGAATTTGGTTATTTGAATCTTTCTAATCGATCCTAAATAAGATGATTTGGAGAGTGAAAGAAAACTCGATCTCTTACCTATAATGTAGGTCGTTGAAGCTCATTTGAAAAGGTCAAGCTTAAGACTAAAAGCCCATGGCACATTAAATTCTAGTCCTAACAAAAACTCAATAATAATGATGATGATGATGATGATGATAGTAATAATAACAAAAAAATAAAATAAAATAAAATGAACATAGGTCTAGGCCCAAATTCACCTCCCAAACCATAATAATAAAATAAAATAAAATCACAAGCCCGTAATAATTTTCAAAAAAGGACATGGGTCAAGCTCATGTCACGCTCGTCATGCCACTTTAAAATATTAACTTAGGTTTAAGGCCACATTAAGAGCTAAATATGCGAGAAGAAAAAATTAGTAGCACCATCAAATAAATTAAAATTAACTATAAACAATAGCCATAAAAATAAAAATAAAATAACAAGAAAAGGCTTGTCATTAGAACAAAGTCGATCTCGTGTCCTAAACCTAATCCATTTAGGTTGACTTAGACCGGCATCATGTAAAATAAACACACACAAGACAAGGCATAATAAAACATGTAAAAAAATATCACGTATTACATAAAAATGAAAATAAAATAACCAATAGGCCTTCATAAGGTCTTCGACCTATAAATTCAGATTTAACTTATTTCAATTTGAAAAAAAAATGCTAGCTTCATCATTGACCAATAGTTCCTCAATGACGTATTAGATAAAAAATAACAATACTATATAATATGTCAAACCTCTTTTTATTAAAAAAAAATGATAAAAAATAAAAATAAAACTAAAATAAGAAAAAGTTAGAATTAAAAAAAAATCACTAATCTATTATTTCTAATCCGATTAACATTAAAATACATCATACATCAAAATAACTCCGAATTGAGATCATTTTTGGTTATATCTCATATAACTCAATATTCCATTTTTCAAATCTATTAATGACGCCTCTAACAAAATGTTTTACATTCAATAATCGTATAAATATTCATCATCAATCATATAATTGACAATATCATCCTATGAAACAGAGAAATAATCGAAGCTAAATCATGAAATTCAAATTAAAATCGGATTAGAAACATGAAAGTGCAAGGGCATAATTATCTAAATCTATAGTTCGGGGACTAAACTCGAATCTATTGGTAGTAATAGAGACAAAACTTCGGGAGGTGTGTGAGGACTCGCTTCATCGTTGAAATGGGACGGTTCAAATGGTGTTGTGATCATCTTGGAAGGAAGATTCCGGTGGTTCAACACATGTTGGTTGGAAGTCGACCGGTTGGAAACGATGATGGCTTCTTCCGGCTATTGTCTTTTGCTTCTTTTTAGGTCGCTAGTGGTTTGTTTTTTTCTAGGTGTCGGCGTCTATCTCCATGTGGGTTGGGTAGAATCTATTTATAATGCTAACTAGGTCGGTTTAGGGTTTTTTCTTTTGTTTTTAGGGGTTTAGGCTAGCAACCTATCGAGTTTGGAGTGCCCGGACTTGGGCACGATCCAACTCGGGCTAGCTATATATATATATATATATATCATGGGGGTAAAAAATGAGGTGTTGACAAAGATCATGGTATTGCATATAAAAATTTAATTTCACCATATGTAGATTATGTGCCATAGTTCCAATAGTTTGAATGGAGGAAATCTAACTTAAGAATAAATTGGAAATATTATAATTTTTTAAAAACATATTAGATGCAATTAAACATTTAGGAATAGATTGAGCATGGTTAATTAGTTCCAAGGTGATTTGGGAGGATGGGGTGAAATGGTAACAATGATGTAAATTTTATTCATTAAATCCTTCTATTTATTTTCCCTCCGTTTAGTTGATCATTCCATCCACGTAGAGTCGTTAAATGTCTATGTATCAAGTTTTTTCTTTGATCGGACAAACTAATTTCCAACTACTTCTCTATTTAAAAAATTTAATTTTTTATATTTTGAGTTGAAATTTTATACATGTTTTAGAAATAAATAAAAAAAAATCCAATTCATTTTCTCGACGATGAACTTAGGAAGTATTTATTTTTTGTTTAAAAGAAACATGAGCGATTCGGAAAATTGAAAAAATAAAAAATAAAAAAAAACTCGGATCCATCTTAAATTTAGTAGAGAATCTAAAAAACATGTTGATGGATTTATCTAAACGATTTTCGTGTGGAAAGCATCTCATTTTCTTGATGTAAAAATACGACGATCATGTCTTGTGGGACGGATGCATAGATAGTAGGGGTGAGCAAACGGTTAAATGGTTCGGTTTTGTACGATTCGGCTTGGTTTTCGGTTAACCGAATCATGGAAAATAAAAACCAAAACCGAACCAAAATAAATTCGGTAAATTCGGTTTTTAACCAAATTATTTCGATTCGGTTTCAAAATATTTCGGTTTTAACCGAAATGTTTTATTGAAAAAAAAATTCTAGACCATTGTTTCATCATATGTCCTAAGCCACCATCATTTTCACCATTTACTATAAAAAAAAAAAAGATAATAAGAAAACAAAGCCCTTACATAGGAAATATCTTTTGCAGCTACCTAATCACAGTTGACACACCGAATGTCCTAAATGAGAGAAGAAAAAAATGTAGTTGTCTTCCTTCTTTTGCTTATTCCGAACTCATCAAGCACTAACAACATCCTAATTCTTGATTTGACCTATATGATCTCCTTGTTTATCTTGCTAAAAAGCCATTGGGAATGAACCGTAGGAAACAAAATGTTAGACCGAATTAGTCACCGTTGAAGATTATAATTTTCCAACATCAATTACTATCATAACAAGATATATAAAGCAAGGTAAAGGTTACCAATATGTATAACATCCCTAATAATTTTACAATCATCATTCCCACTAAAAAATGTAGTCCAAATGATTTTCATTAGCAATTTTGTGCAAGTAGAAAAGAAATTAAAACGAGTTTCTTTCAGTTTGTAAAATTCAAGCTCACAGAGACCTAAAACCATCTTGCAATAGTAAGTTAATTTCATTTGATTGTCTTGCAAAGAAACAACTCGAACTTGTAAAAGATAATTGATTGCAGCTTAGTCATCAACTTGCATCTACTTTATTTATTTTTTTCAGTTTATAGTTGACCAAATTAAGAATCTTAGAATTCATGAATGCCTCCTCCGACTCGATGAAGTGATGATGAAGGAGAACCGGAGAAGATGGAGCAAAGGATAGGGAGCTAGGGAGGCGTCGCTAAAAATTGATTTTGATTTAGTGAAGTTAGCCAATTAGGGTTTTAAAAAAAAAAACCCTTTTTTTTTCGGTTTTCGATGAAAATGGATTTTTTTAAAAAAACCGAACCGAACCGAAATAATTTCGGTTTTTCGATTCGGTTTTTAATTTTATAAATTTAAGTTTAAAACCGAACCAAAATACATAATTCGGTTCGGTTTGATTCGGTTTTCAGTTAACCGAACCATTTGCTCACCCCTAATAGATAGATAGAGTAGACAAATAGGTCTATCATATTTTCTTGGCAAAATGCATCATGCTTGTTGCGTGTACAAAATAAATTCCTCATTTTTTATTTATTTTTTAATATGCTACTATTTGTGACATGCGTTTAAAAAGTGATGTTATTTTCATTATCCTATGCCACATGGTAAAAAAAAAAAAGAAAAAGAAAAGTGACAATGAGTTAAATCAAGTAAATAAATCGATATTGTAAAAGAAGAGTAGAAGTTAAAATAAAATGTTAGGAAAAATATTTTTTGGCATAGGAAATAAAAGATCAAATTTAAAAGTTAAACTGAATATAATAAATAAATAAAAAGAGAAAAAGGTTAGGCATCAAATATATGTTTACTTAACCTTAGCGTAGTGGCAGAGTTAGATGGAAATAATTTGGTTGGATGGGGTGAAATGGTAACAATGAATTAAAGCAAGAGATATAGGGTAAAAAAGAAAAAACCAACACTTTTTAGAGGTGCCTAATTGAAATAACCTTAAACATAAGGATCAAATTATATGGACTTAATAGAAGGAATCAAACATAATAGAATAGAATTATACTTTTCAACAAGTTTGGTATAGCACGAGATAACAACCAAGTTACTACTACTAATACTGTACTTTTGTATTATGGATATGAGTAGAAGATAAGCATGGCGCGTCAATATCATAACCTTCTCCTCCTCCTCTGTGCATATAAAATTGAGTTGCTTTCCTCCCTCTTCCCAACGCATGCATATCCACATTCCATTTCCAACTAACTGAGTCAACTCAATCATGGAGATGCGGCAGCAGCAGCAAATCACCAAAACCAATGATTTCCGCTTGGACGATCACGATGATTATCTATCAGGATTCGGCAACACCTTCGAATCCGAATCCATCCCTGGATCATTTCCACGGGGACAGAACAGCCCTCTCTTATGCCCCTACGGTCTCTACGCCGAACAGATCTCCGGCACCTCCTTCACTTCCCCTCGCAAACTCAACCAACGCAGGTTCCCTCCCTCGGTTAATTAGTTTATTAATTGCTTCGTGCGTAGCTTAAAGCTGATCATATAATTAATTAAATTTCTTTTTTGATGAATAATCAGTTGGTTCTATAGAATAAAGCCGTCGGTTACACACGAACCGTTTCAGGCACGATTTCCAAGTCACGAGAAACTGGTGAGCGAATTTGATAAATCAAACAGTTACACAACGCCCACGCAACTGCGGTGGAAGCCAGTAGATATTGTTGAAGAATCAGCAGCACCAACTGATTTTGTTGACGGTTTGTATACAGTTTGTGGCGCTGGCAGCTCCTTCCTCCGCCATGGATTTGCTATTCACATGTATGTATGATTTTATTTTACATTTTGGAATCGTTTCTTTTCTACTTAATTTGGTTGGTTTCTTTTGTTTAGGTATACTGCCAATAAATCCATGGATAATTGTGCCTTTTGCAATGCCGATGGCGATTTCTTGATTGTTCCAGAAAAAGGAAGTGAGTGATTCAATAAGAATGGAAGCCTTTTTTTTTTTCCCCCAATTATTTGGATGGGCATATTGTATTCCATCAACATGCTATGATTTTGATTTGTGAGACTGTGAGTTTCCAGTTGATGCTTTGGGCTAATGCTTTCGAGATTAGTTCCATCTGTATTTTCTGTTTGAGTTACTTCTTCAACGCTTCTTGTGCAATCTAATGCTGCTTTTAAACTCCCAAATAATTTCAACAACTTTGCTTTCTCTATTATTGTGTGTGGCGGGAAATATTTTCTACTGCATTCTTGAATTGTTATCACAATTATGCTTTCTAATCATTCAATAATTCAGCATGTGTAGAGGGGGTGCTTCTAAATATCCAATCTCTTCTCGTGAACTACTTGCATTATCAGGCTGTTTAGACTCTGACAGTGTTGTCTTATTAGTCTACGGTATTGGTGGTGTAGGATTGTGGATCACTACTGAATGTGGGAAATTGCAAGTTTCTCCTGGTGAAATTGTTGTCATACCTCAAGGATTCCGGTTTGCTGTAGATTTGCCAGATGGCCCATCACGGGGTTATGTTTCTGAGATTTTCGGTACCCATTTTCAACTTCCTGACCTTGGCCCAATAGGTATCTAATCTCTTATCCTTGTCCTGGCCTTCTGTGTGATAAAGTGTGATGCTATTATTCATCTTTATTCAACGAATGTTGCTAGCACAGCAAGGACTTGATTTTGGTTACTTTTAGGTGCTAATGGTCTTGCTAATCCAAGGGATTTCCTTGTTCCCAAGGCCTGGTTTGAAGATGGTTCCAGACCAGGATATGCTATTGTACAAAAGTTTGGTGGAGAACTTTTTGTTGCAAAACAAGATTTTTCTCCCTTCAATGTGGTTGCTTGGCATGGTAATTATGTTCCATATAAGGTAAGTTTAACTGTCATAGCTCTCGTTCTGGTTTTTGTCAAAAAAATTGCATTTGCTCTCGTATTTGTTCTTAATTGGGAAACTGTCTTTTCTGCAGTATGATCTCAATAAGTTTTGCCCTTATAATACTGTCTTGTTTGATCACAGTGATCCATCAATCAATACAGGTAGGAGGTTATGCAACCATATTTTTCCTTTTTTTTTTTTTTGGTTTTTGGAACAAAGTACTATGCTTTGTGTTTCTCTTTCTTAATTGCATTTCTGTAATATGTTGCAGTTTTGACTGCTCCCACTGATAAACCTGGAGTGGCGTTGCTTGATTTTGTTATTTTTCCTCCCCGATGGTTGGTTGCTGAGCATACGTTCCGACCTCCATACTACCATCGCAATTGTATGAGTGAATTTATGGGCCTGATTTATGGTGGATATGAGGTAAACTATTTTCACATGCTTTAGTTTTACTTGATCATAGTCTCACAAGATTCAGTGTCGTTTGATGGAATATCAGGTTCTATACTTGTAATAATTTTAAGTTCTCTGAATTGTGTGGTTCCTTTCTGAGTTTTTTGTGCTAACACTTGTAAACCTTGGCTCAATTTCCTGTTTTAATTTAATAGGAAGGATTCTTTGTCCGGTTTTTTTTCTCTCCCTATGTGTCAATTTCAATCCTAATGTTTGTTTTCAGGCAAAAGCGGATGGTTTTCTCCCAGGTGGTGCAAGTCTTCATAGCTGCATGACTCCACATGGTCCTGATACGAAGACATACGAGGTATATCTTCTTGTAGGCATTTTTATGCAACATTGTACTCGGTTTCTATTGGCCCCCTTTCCTTTCTCCATATTTTTTTAACATTGAACGGTGTCAAAACGTACTGGTGTTCATATTGCCGTATACTGTTGTTGGAATGTGTTGATAATTTGAAATTAGTACTTGGTTTTTTGCTTGATTGGTTACCTGATTATTTATTTTGGAAGTCTTTCTAGTTTCAGTATTTACATACTATCGTGACCCAAATGATTGGGTGTCTAACTACTCCTTTATGTGGGCATTGATGATTGAACAGTCTTTTGTTCTAACATCTTCATTTTTTATTTATAGGCTACCATTGAGCGTGGGCATGATGCAGGACCATTCAAAATTTCCAACACAATGGCTTTCATGTTTGAATCATGTTTAATTCCCAGAATCTGCCATTGGGCTCTTAAGTCACCTTTTATGGACAACAATTACTACCAATGTTGGACTGGACTCAAATCCCATTTTTCATCTGAAGGAGCAGAGAGCCAAGACAATGGTGTATAGAATGGACATAAGGTAAGATGGAGTGGAGTCACCTGAGGTCTGATTTGGTCTTTTACAAAAACCTTGGGCAGGGGCGTTTATTCAGTGCGACTTGACAGCATATTGTTAAATACATAAAACAAAAAAGGGGAATTTATAAATAGAAATAGAAATAGAAATAATCAAATAAATGAAATGTAGCTTTGGATGATATTCTTTTCTGATCAACGTAATCAATTGATGATTTATGTACGTAACGTGTGAGCTTTGTGGTCTGGGTGGGATACTTGTTACTTTTCTTTGAGCCAATCAAAAGTTGGAGAATCATGCCATCAACAGTTTTAAGACCCACTCGTCTTCATTTCCTTTACAATTTTATCCCAAAAAAACAAAACAAAAATCCCTTCAATGCTATTTGACTAGGAACGTTGTGTTTTGGTGCAGTGCTTAAGCTTCAGTTCAAGGCATGTATGTGGCTTGCGTTGTTTATTGAGCACATGGACATGGGTTTTTAACAGGCTAGGGACATGATGTTATCGAACTAAGAGTAGTTTAATAAAGGGCTAACCTCAACTATTTAGCTTAAATTAATTATCTCTCAGAAAAATTTTGTCCTCGAACAATTTGGATTTCTGAATTTGTTTCTTTGTTAGAGGATGTTAATAAAAAAAAAAAACGTTAAAATAATGCGCAAAGCATGTGAGTCCTACCCCTAATATAGCAAACCCTTTCTTCAAAATAATCCTTTTTCTTTTCAAAATCTACAAAATGCAAGGCCAATTCAATTTAAATTATTATTAACACGATTTAATTTTAACTAACAAATTTTCTGTTTATATGCTAGGTTAGTCACTGAAAATGATGCGGGATAGGAAACTTTGGTTTCTTTTTGCCACATATAAATAATTAACTTATATACACAGACATATAGGTACAATTCCTTTCCTATTAATACCATCTCTGGATAGGCTTATTTTCGGAGGGTGTAAAGGCCTTAATTTAACAAAACAAAGAACTAAAGATAGTTTCAGCGTCAAATTGTAGAATTGACTCAATTGAGAGGTAGTATAGTCAAAACAATAATTAAATTGTTGCCACCCTAACAATCAACACAATAACTGAATTCTTCAAATTCTGAATATTTCATAATTGGAAATACACTTGTCTTTCTCTTAAAAGAAAAAAGAATGGTATAGCATGGTTCTAATTTAATAACATTTGCAAAATATAGATAGATTAGCAAGTGATTGTTAGGGTGGACTTAGTTTTGGTTGATGCAAAAAATAATTTGAAAATACCTTACTATCTATATTCACTTTTTTATCTTTTAGATAACATAGACATTTTTTTTCCTTACCTAAAAATAAGATTCATGAATAGTTATCACATTATAATTCATAAGAGGAGGAAATAATGGTTTTCAATTTGATTTTGTTTCTTGCTTGTTTTTACTGATGTTACAGTTTTATCTCTATTTTTTATGAGCTTTTTATCTACTTTGAATAAATGTTAATAAAATGTATTTTATGATTTGAAAAAGATTGACATTCTTCGACAATCATGAAGAAATGAGATCTATCATTAATGGAATCTAGTAGAACTTTCTACGTAAATTTATGGTAACTAGAGAAATTTTTCTGCATGAAATGCAACAACTATCTTATTTTAAAAAACCTTGGATAGAAAAGAACAGAAAGTTCAATTTTCAATTTTTGTTTATATATATAGTTTTAGATGAGATCCGAACTTGACATCATAAGATACCTAATAATTTTCTCCATCACAAGGATTTCTATCGCTAACGTGGACTTGGTTTGATTTGTATCTTTACAACCCAAGTTTACTTCAATCTATCTCCAAAGTTTTCTCTATCTTGGACCCAAGTATACTTTGTGGTTCTGGACCTTTTGGGAAAACGATTGATTTGTCCTTATACAATATATAATGATTATATAATGACCTAAGTTTTTAGTATATCTTTATATTTGAATTGATTTAATTTTATTTCTATAAAATGACTAAATTTTCAATTTATATTTGTGTTATCTTTTTTCATCTAAATTAACATAACCAATCATACACATGATTTAATAATATATTGAAAATGACAACCTTAATGAAGAAGGGGGCACCAAAGCGAGAGAAAATGAATAGAAAAGATAGGGAGGTTTTGGTATTTTCAATATAATATTCGGTCATTTGCATGACTAATTCTATTAATTTAGATAGAAAATATTAACAGAATAATAGATTAAAAATTTAATCATTTTATACGATAAATAGATCAATATATTATATAACAAGCTGAGTTTTTAATATGTCTATACTTTTTTTTATTGCATATATTATGTTTTTAAATATTGTTTTAATTTTCAATCTGTCTTTTCGATTAATTTTTTCAACAATGAGATTTTTTTTTATACCAAAATGCTCTAATTGAAAAAAAATAAAAATAAAAATCACTTATAGTCACATGATTTGCATGTTCCATTTTTAAAGTTTTTATTTTTTATTTTTTCAATTTAAATCAAGGATATTTCGATCAAATATTTTGTTCATGGTCGAAAAAATTGAACATAAAAAAAGATTGAAGACATAAATATTAGGGTTAATACTCACACTCTTGCATATTATTATATAATAAGCCAATTTTTTCAATATGTCGTTAAATTTTAAAACACTTCTAATATGTTTTTATTATTTGAGCTAATTTTCAATCTGTCATTTTAGTCAATTTTTTTTTGTCAAACCACTCAAAAATACCTCATGACATGCACATGACCTTTACTTTGATTAAAAAAAAGCCCTTTGCGGCTTAATATGTTAAGTTTCTAATATATTCTTATATAATGAGTTCGGTTTCCAATCTGTTTTTAATGCTAAAAAGCCTATTATATTATTATTATTATTAATTTTCTTAATAATATGTTATAAATTTTATGTTAACTAAAAAAATATAAAATAATTAATACAAATTATTATGTAACTATTAAAGAAATTATCATTTAACATATTTTTAATTTTAAAGAGTCCATTATATTATAATAATTCACTTATGTATAATATTAAACAAGTACTTGATGTCATAACCAAAATTTTGAGTTATATATTTTCCTCCAATTTTATCCCTTTTAGGTTTTTATTTTTTATTTTATTTTTGTTATTATCCTCTTTTATTTATTATTTTATGTGTTCATTATTTTTATTTTATTTTATTTTAGTATTTACTAAAAAAAGAGAGAAAAGGAATAAAAAATGCAAAAATAGATAAAAATATAAAAATACAAAATTGAGAGATATTTTAATCAGGGGCATGATTGCATTAAATCATAGCTTGGAATTGGAAGGTAGTAGGGGTTAAATTGAACAAAAATCAGGTTAAATTAAGGACATAATTGAAAAGAATCAGGGGACATGATTGATTTTTTTTTGAAAGTTGAGGGACTGATTTGATAAATTGCTAAAAATCAGTATTTGAGATAGTGAACATATTGTTCACTGTCTGCTTCATTTCAAAATCAGAAATGATTTTGACTCCTCCTGGTTTTCGAACGGATTTTGTCCCAGCCAGCTCACTTGTCATTCTCCTTAGGGCGCAGGTCATGCTGCATTAAGAACAAAGGGTGAAGATGTCATGGGAGGAAAAAAATAATAGATTGAGGAGCGAGAGGCTTAGAAATAAAACTTGGAAAGTTTGCTAAAAAAATATAAATTTTTTAGAAGATAAATTTTAAGACTAAGATAGATATGGTATCTTTCTTAGAAAATAGTGTTTTTATACGATTGATAACTTTCTCAAAGTATAACTAACTTCTTACCTTAAAATCTCTAAACTATTGTCTATATTAGGTTTTTAATTACCTTTAATACTAAGTGACAACTTCAAAAATTAAAAATAACTTATATCCCAAAACAAATTTAAATAAATAATTATAAATTTTGGAAGTCTCATGAACGTCGAGTAGCAAGACTTGATATAATATTTACCAATATATTAAATTATTTTTATAAAATAAAACATGTGAATTGCGTGCGGAAAAAAATAATTATGTAATTAAATAAAACATATTTTTGTTTTAATTACATGCTTAATAGACTAATTAACGAGTTACTTAAATATAACTATTTGTTTTTTAATTGCATGCTTAAGAGACTAATTAATAATTACTTCAATACGCTAATTATTTTCTTAATTACATCCTTAAGAGACTAATTAACAATTACTTAAATATAATTATTATTTTTTAATTACTTACTTAAGATACTAATTAACAATTACTTAAATGTAATTATTTTTTTTTAATTTATTGAACAATTGCATACTAACTTGTACTAATTATTTTTATATTTTTTTAATTAACAAAAAATTCACTACAAAATAACAAATTATTAGAAAAATTAATATCAATAATATAATAGACTCTTTAACATTAAAAACAGATTAAAAACTCAACCATTATATAAGACAGAATAGAAACTTAATAAATTAAACTCGCAAGGGGCTTTTTTACTAATGTAAAGGTCATGTGATATTTTTTTTGATGGTTTGACCAGAAGGATATATTAGAAAACAATTGAAATAATAAAGACAAATTGGAAGCATTTTAAAACTTAAAGACATATTGAAAATTGACTTATTATATAAAGATATATGAGAGTATTAACTATAAATATTATTTAAAGATATAATAGGTGAAATTAAAAATGCAAGGACATATTAAAGACTCGATCTACTCTATAAAAAAATGGAGCTATTTACCCTATTTTATAAAAATAAAATTAATTTTATTAAAAATACAAAATAAATTGAAAATTCATCTTATTATATAATTGCTATTTTCCCCGATTAAAATGAGTACTGCAAGTGAAAAGTTGGAAATGTATTGGAAAACAGATTTAGCCCTTGTTTTGTTTAATGATCGGCAAATCAACCTTTGTGAAAACAATTTCTTCAAATTTACTTCTACTTTTGTTATTTCATCAATTAAAATTCAATTGGACTAAATTGAAAACAAAATGTGACGAATTGACCATACAGGAGCGAGAGAGAATAATATTATTTTCAATTCAATCCCATTGGACTGGATGTACGAATTGTGATGAATATAGGAGTGAAAATGGTAAAATGGTTTACATGTATATATATAGGCAGATTTGATGAATTGACACAAACATAGGAAGTAATTTGATGGATTTCCCTGGACATAAGATGGAGAAATAGTGATAAGAGCAAGTGGTCACCACTCACCTTTGTTTCTTTATAGCACTAGTGTTAGTGTTAACAAGTTAGGGTTTCAATACATTGCATGATCATCTCAACAAAACATAAACAAGGTAAGCCCTTGTTTTGCTCCTCTCCACGGTGCAATAATGCCTCTATAGTTTGCATCAAATTTCCATTTCACACTCCCCTCTTCTGTACGGTACTTACAGAATTTTTTTGGGATCCAAAAATTAATGGGAAAATTGAAGGACAAAAAATAGAAATAGTACATTATGTTGTTGAACGAACAATTCTCTAATCTCTTAGTTGTAAAATGGCTATGGCTTTGGTATGCACATGCAAACCCTGCAATATTGAATTAACATTTGCTATTAATTAGTGATAGATAGTCATGCATCTCTGAGAATATTAGTACCTTTTCAATGATTATAATTAATTATGTTAATCCCCCCACAATCATGTTGTCCACTTTAAACACGGTATTGGATCATGATCATGGCCGTTGAAATGATTGACTTTTGTTTATTTGATGAATTTAAGCAAAGCACAATTCCGTGTCTCGTGTGATCATATCCCTTACGCAAACAAGTGGCATGTTTTTTGTAATATGATATTGAATGGTGAGATCGAAATAATATTTCCCGGACAACCAGAGTACTTAACTTACCTTTTTCACTAATCATTATTAGTGTCTCTCGAGTTCTTTCCTAGCTTTACAGAACAACATAAATGCCAGCATGAGATGATGGAAGGTACCAAGAAAAACTGCTGAGAGAGAGAGAAAAGATAAGAAAAAAAAAAGGGCACATATATACTCTCTCCATGTGCGTCTGGTTTGGAGACAAAGGAAAGAAAAGTGGGCTATTCCAAACAGTTCACATGGGAAGAGGATGACATGATTCTTACATTAATTTCTCCCTCTTCTTGTTCACAGCTCATCCTCCCTAAACCCTACATCTTCCCACCATATCACTGCCTTGTAGTATTTTATCCTTCCTACTTTAAGGTATTATCTCATGCATATATCTCTTTCACAACACAGTACATCTACTCCACACACAACCTAGCTAGTTGGCTAGGTATGAGATCTCTACCTGCATAATCCATCAAGAACTAATTTAATTAAAACCACAATTTTGATTAATTTGTTCCATACATTGCTAAGCCAATCTGAAGTAACTGATTCATAAACCAAAACTGTCTAATTTCACAATAAAAATTCCTTTTTTTAAATAGATTTTTATCCATCAGAAATGAAAATTATATTTATAAAAATATGAGTCAATTTGTATATGAATAACTCTTGAAATAGCGAAGCTCGTTGTATTTGTCCAATCTGTTCGTTTAATTATTTTTTTTAAAGTTCAATGTAAATAATAATAATAAAAAAAATCTCCTCTTAATCTACAGTCCCATCTTATGGTCATTTCATGGACTCTAAAGAAAAAAGAAAAATCCAATGCAAGTACGATTAATTTTGGGATGAAAAATTAGAAGGTTGGTTACATAAATAAACTCCACCTAGCAGTAGATGGAAGTTATTGTTGTTAATTAGGATTTGGATCCAAGGGTGAAAGATGAATGATTAGGGACAAATTGAAAGTGTGAGCGGATACACGTAAAGTAAAAGATGGGATAGATTAGAAAACATAAATATCCCAGGTAATGAGAATATATGTGTAGATTATTATTATTATTATTATGGCAGCAGAAGAAGTATATAGCAAGTAGTGTAGTCTGGAGGTGATGGGAGGCAGAGAGGTGACATCGGCACGTGGTGGCCGATTCCCTCCAGTTAATTAAAATCTCTCTCTTACACACTGCGACTTTCCTGTAAAACCGTTGAGCCCAAAATCCCAGCTGTTGCTAGCTGTTTCTAATCCAACGCCCATGTGCCCCCACCATCTCCACCTCCAAAACCTCTGGGCCTTAAAAAAATAGCTAACCTCATGTTGTGCTTGCTTCTCTACCTCCACCACCTTCCAAGCTAGCCACTACTTGCTCTCCTATAACAACCCTTTCCTATCTCTCACTGGAGTGCTTTTAGGACTCTCTATGTATCCCCAAGATTTTCTCGTTATATTATTTTGGATTGGTTTATGTCATGCTGTGCTGTGTTTGTGATTTAAGTTGTAACTTTTCCTACTCTATCCTAACCACACATTCCTATTCCTATTTTTGCATCAACTTACAACCAAATCGTCAGTTACTTCTCTTCTAGCTAGATTTTCTGACATCACACATCTAGATTGTTAGTTGTTTCTTTGTAGAGTTTGTTAAGGTTTTTGTCATATAAATACCCCATTTCTATTCTATCAATTTCCGTCCCTATATAGATATACTGGTATACGTAGAAATTAGTTTGATATAGACGGAAGGAAGGAAGGAAGGAAGGAGTATTATTATGGCACAATTGCCACCCAAAATTCCTGCTATCGCCCAAAATTGGCCTTCCTTTCCTCACCAAACAATGTCCAATTATTTTTCAATCGCTGCTGCTGCTGCCACCATGGAGAACCATCAACCCTGTTGGGTTGATGACTTCTTGGATTTCACGTCTAGCAGACGTGGCTCCCACCGTCGCTCTGTTAGCGACTCCATCACTTTCATCGAGACGACCAACATGCCCTCCTTGGAGGAAGATCAATCCCATGCCCACCACCACCACCACAACAACAATACCAGCTGCAATAATAACCATTCCTCTTCCAATGCCTTGATTTCCGCTAATCTTGGGTTTGACAAGTTGGACGATGACCAGCTCATGTCCATGTTTTCCGACGACATATCCTTGTCTTTGCCGCCACCCTCCTCAAACCCCTCCTCCCCGTCCGACCAGAATAGCAACAATGACGAGAAACCATCAATGCCAACAGATCGACGCCGAGAAGAAGAAGAAAACATCGCGCAGCAACAAGCGGCGGTTGCCAAGACTGAGCCAGGAGAGGTGGAGAGCTCATGCAACCAAGAAACTCACCACCAGCCTCCTCCTCCCACATCTTCAAATAATGATGATACCGTCATGGATCCGAAGAGGGTGAAAAGGTGAATATTTATTAACGTGGGATAATTGATCCACCTACCTACTCATCAAATGTTTTAAACTTCTAGTACTTTAATTTTATAGGTTATTACAAGTCATAAAGAATTGCATGTGCACTAATACCAAGGAATTTCAATCTTAATTTGGTTATGTTTTTCTAATTCTCAGTGGCATATAACTAATTTTGTATAGGGAAATTATGGCTGTAAACTGATTCTGTTTTCATATTTAGCAGAATTTTGGCAAATCGGCAATCTGCACAAAGATCAAGAGTGAGGAAATTGCAATACATTTCAGAGCTTGAACGTAGCGTGACAACATTACAGGTATCTTAAAATTGTATACTCTTCAAGTAATGTTCATAATTAAAGTATTGCATAATTTTTTTGGGGTAGTACTTGACTCTCGACTCTTTACTTAATTCAAAAATTTAGACGGAAGTTTCAGCATTGTCGCCAAGAGTTGCATTTTTAGACCACCAACGGCTGATTCTCAACGTGGATAATAGTGCCTTAAAGCAAAGGATTGCCGCTTTGGCTCAAGACAAGATTTTCAAAGATGGTAAGAGCTCTCCTCGATCTCATTATTTCAAATTCAAAAAATCATAATTTGTGTTCCAATTCGATGTTAATTAGGAACATTATGATCGATTATGTTTTTGATCTGTGGGAGAATTACTGTTTCCATGAATGGAGACATGGGAGTTACATGTTTTAAGAAATTGTTAATGTGGTCCATTACACTGTAAATGCCATTAAATGATGAGTTTGTAACAAAATTAACTTGATTCTTTTTTATTTCTGAAGTGGGAATGTTTTCTTGCTAAACCATTTAATTTGGTTCCAAATTGCAGCCCATCAAGAGGCATTGAAGAAGGAAATAGACAGACTTAGGCAAGTGTATCACCATCAAAATCTCAAGAAGATGAACGGTAATAGCCATGCAGCAGGACCAGAAAAGTCACCAAACCACGAGACAATTCAGTGTTCGGACAATTAAGGAGCAGCTTCTAAGTTCTAACATGAATGATTTTTTTTTTTTTTTTAAAAAAGAGAGGTAGTGAGTGACCAGCAATGAGGGGCTGTGGTGCACTTCTGGTGCTAACCTGTGGCTTTCACGTGATGTGTCTCTCTTCGTGGGACCCCTGACAAACTTGCTCGGTTGGACCTAATGAAGAACACGTGGACTTCTAGGATAGGGTGGTGACAGTTTTTTTACTTAAAAAAAAAAATGGAAGTGGGCTAATGGCTTTTCTCACATCTTGGGGTTGGGTTGTTTTGATTTTTCTTACTGTTATTTTATTTTATTTTTTGTTTGGGTGTTAATTTTTCTTAATTTGTTTATGCTTTGAAAAATGACTTGAATTCTTTTTGTGGGACTAGAACTAGATATTGGGTTGGGTGTTTGGGATTTGGATGGCGTTTTGTATTGGGATGTATGAAAAGGGAAAGTGGTCAGGAATGGGCAGAGGTTAATAATGCTTTCTTTGCTTTCTGACATATTTTCCTTTTTCGTTTTTGTGAAAATGTAAAAATATTTCCTTTCCATTGGGAATTCAGTTGGATTTTTTTTTTTCCCTTTTATGAGCATCATCTAGCTGGAATTTTGGTTCTCAGAAAGTTGTCTTTTATACTCGCACCTGAACTTCATATAATTGTGAAAAAAAGAAGAACAAATTCTGTTATATCATGCACATCCATAATTTATTGTGAATCTATTAATTGCTAGCTAATCGGGGTTTAAACTTGAGGCATCTCAATGTTTTTCCACTTAATCAGCAACCTAGATTCATCACTTGTAATTGTTCCATGAATATATGTTAATTAGAGAATGAGTTTACCGTGTGATTTGATGATATTTTTGTAGGTTTCAGGTTCAAATCTTACTTTTTCCATTCTAATAAAATTGGATCGCATCTATTAAGAAAAAAAAAGGCTAAAAACTTTGCCACAACAATGTACTGTTCGTCCATTTTAATTGGGACAAATTTTGGTTAAATTGAAGCTACCAATGTAGAGTTATGTTTTATTTTATTGAGTTTTGTTGGAGATAAGTGTACAACAAAATTTTCTATCGAAACAATTCACAGATAAAAATAATAGCATGGTTCATAATGGATTTTAATCATTCACAACATGCTTAGTTAGATGTGATAGATCATGTAATATAAAGGTTTCTTATATTTTTATATTTGACTGTATGAGAGCATATTTAATGTTCTTTTTATATTAAGATTTTTTTTTTTTTACAATAAAGAGATTTGATCCAAATTCTATCTCCAATGCTCTCTTTATCATAATCTTTATCTTAAAATTGAGATACTGAGTGTCTTTGGCTTTCAAATAGTAGAGAGTTCAAATAATTCTTTATCTTATATTTCAATAATAAAAATTATTATTTCCTATGCCATCCAAATCTCTTCACCAATAGTCTCTCCGGGTTTTATGGATTTTGTCAAAATAAATAGTTAAAGTAGAGAGTAGCATTGAAGATGACATTGATCTTCAATCTATATAATTAATGATGCTCTTTATTTACATTAAAAATGCTAGTTTAAAGTAGAAAGCACCATAGAAGATGCTCTAATTTTAGAAAATTAAAATGCAATGGACAATTATAACGGTGATGATTCATTGCATTACAAATATGATATATAAAAGAAAAAACTATGTAATGAATCGTTACTTGATTAAGAGCAATCATTTAGGGATCTAATTGTAGATATTTTTCATAAAATACAAGGACCAAAAATACTTTCAAATAAGGACCATTATATTTTATATTTTTTATTACGTTATACAATTAATGACCTTATATTATATAAATTTACACCGTATCAAACATGCTGATAATTCACGTCATTTGTCTCATTTTTTCTTTCCTCAATTTACCGGGTATTTCATGATATCTCTACAAATTTTGTCTAGGATTGTTTTGTTCATTAGTCTACTACATATATGAACAAGTTACAGGTAGTTAAAGCCCATAGATTTTCAAACCTCGTTTAAGACAAAGCTGAGGTAGTTTTCTTGGGCTACAAAAATTAGGCTCAAATAACAAGTAGGCTTAGAAACCTAGTCCAACTTCAGATTACACAAACGGATAGCGAATCCCAATAAGATTTAGCTTTTGACCAGCAATCTCTCCACCAAAAGCCTGCAGGCCAGGCTTCTACTTTTTCTTTTTTCTCATCTTTTTCTCGTTAGGAGGTCAATTAAAACTTGTACCACATAATCCTGGATTCCTGTAGTTCTCTCCTTCTCTTAATTCCTTACATTTGAAGGGAACGACGGTTGATCTCGGATTATTACTATTGTAGGTATGCATATACCTTTAGCATCCAAAGAAAAAGAAAAAGAAATAGAAAAAGCTTGAGAGAGCTGTTGAGAAAAAGAAAAAGAACTAGAAAAAAAGAAAAGAAAGAACATTGTACTTTAAAAATAAAAATAAAAAATTCCTATATATGACTTCATTACAATGACAGCTAGTCCAAATATGGGGAAAGGAAAACTCATAGATAAGTTATGTGGTTATTACTGGTTGATTTAGCTTTTGTACACAAGTACTGCAAAAATTAAGAAATCGAAGAAATATGTTACAGACAGAGAAAATCATGATGCATATAACAAGTAGAAATAAGAAAATATTACAGATTCCTTATCTTAAACTTGAGAGAGCTGGTTTGGTTCTTGGCGTGGAGGAGAATTTCCAAGACTTTCAACATTGCTTACTCGTCTGCTGAATCTCTTGGTTTGGTAGCACCAGTGTTTGATAAGAGTCAACATAAACCCCCTAATGGTTGTATGTCTGAAAAAAGAATTAGCTATACAAAAAAAGTAAATTACGATAGCAATTGTTGATGTGCCCACAGTTATTATGAAGAGTGCCCGGAACCCATTGGGGCTAAGACTTGGATTTTCGTCTTCCTTGTCCTGGCAATGTTGAACTACTCCAATAAATTTGTTTTCCAGTTGTAGGAGTGTCCCATTTTCAGATACCTCCAGTAGAGCTTGATTAATACTTGCAAGCAATGGAGATCCTCGAGGAAAGGCCTGCAGATAACAAACCATGCATGGAAATTTATACATATTTATCACCAAGCTATATTTATATATACATTCTAATTTCTTTTCTTAGTTCAGCTTTCCTCCATTATCAACCATCAATCTAACTCAAGCTAGCTAGTTTGGTTCGGTCCCTTTCATCTGAAACAACTTAAGTTGCAAACATTATTCTTTAAGAAAGCAAGTAGCTAGGAGGAGATATTACGTACAAATCCAAACCCTCCGATGTTGAACGTTGGCCCAGCTTTCATAAATTTCTTGCAATATTTTGCGAGGAATATTTTGGCCAAAGGAGTTCCAATAAAGGCAGCAGCAATTTCTTTGTTCTTGAAGGCTTGAGCATATTCTTCTGCTGATCCATAATGTTTGACATTTTCTCCTGGGAAGCGTAAGACTTCTACCAGATACTTCTTCAAGAATGAACCCGTACAGAATCCAACCACTGCATTGCTTTTCAGCAGTTCCCCAACACTGGTTACGGTGGGTTCAAGCTTCTGGACCGTCAACATGCTGGTGAGGTTGGCTGTATATGTCTGTATGACAACTAGTGCAACAAACAACCATACCACCATTGTCATCCTTGATAGATTGCTATGCAATTTTCCACCTATATATGCACAAATAAATCATTTTATACAGCTACTTCGTTCCAATTGTTTCGCCATTGTATCCAATGTAACAGTTCTTCATATAAAAGTTCAAAAGAACTAAAGAAAAGAAAGTTTTTACCGTCTAAGGAGAAAAGAGTGTTGAAAGATAACCAAAGCATGATTCCTATCTGATGGAGCATGGAGCCTCTTAGTTCAGGATGGGCATGTCGCTCTATTAGCCAAACAACAAAACCATTGTATATGGTTATGACTGTTATTGAAGCCCACATGGATTTTGTAAAGGGTTTGATAAATGACCATGCTTTATTGCTTGATCGAGCAGGGACAATCAGCATCAATCCAGTTTCCGAATAGGGATGTGAGAACTCCACATGCTCATATCTGCTAGCTAATATTGCCACATCACCGACCACTGCATCAAATTTCTGACAACATGGACCAAGGGTTAGTGTGCAGATTATCGTGAACATCAAGAAACAGTAGATGATTTTACAAATTTATTCTTAATTACTCCACCAAAAATAACAGGCTTTATACTTATGAGGCTAGTGAATCCTTCCTTGAGCTAAGCTATAATGTCTCTGGTGCAAAGTGCTTTATGAAACAGCAAGTTCGCACCTTACCTTCAAACGAATTTGATCTACTAGATTGTCGTAAGAGATCTCATTGAAGGCGACAAACTCGTATGGCAAATAGAATGGCAAGCGATCTACAGTGGCTTTGAAGACCTCAATTGCAAGGCCGTCAAAAGAAGTTTCGTTTTGTGATTGATGGTACACATTCACGTACTCCTTGTAACCTGATCTTGCCGGCACACCAACCTGCAGTGGCTTGGCTCTTGTAGGTTCAGTCCATCCTCTAGGAGTGTACCTAGGCCCCCCTGGCCAAAGAACTTGCTCCATATCATTCATAGAAGGGTTACAAGTAGTATTTTCACCAATAGTCTCTGAGAAGCCTAATTCACTTGACCAAAACCCGAGCTCCCTGTAACTCTTTCCCATCACATTGATGATCTGAAATATCTGCGCTGGAGCCATCTTGTGATTTTTGAATTGAACTTTTCCTGACAGGCCATGAAAGTCAATTTGCAAAACTTTTTGGAGTAATTCTTGATTCCTCCCACTACCTCCTTTCAATGCTAGGGCTATTGTCCAGATAGCATCATAGGCCTGCACCGCATAAATCCCAGGCTCATTGTTTTCCTCTTCAGGATTTTCTCTTCTAAACCTTTTACGAAATCTTTGATTAAAATCCCGAAAACGTTGTCCTGTTTCTGAGAAGTAGCTCTTGACTCCCACTATTCCTTGCATTGAGGAGATGACGGAGGCATCGATGGAATGGACAAGGCTTGTGATGTGATGTGTAGTGATCCAAACATAGTCTTTTTCCATCATTTTCATTTCCTTCGCCCTCTCAAATAGACGCACTGCCAGTGGCAATGACGAATGAACAACAAAGACTCTACACTGCTCTCTTCGAAGATTTTCAAGCTCTCTGGATAGTGAATCCAAAGAAGAGAAAGAAGAGAGGCCTATGGATTGGCTAATTTCTGCACCTACTTCTCTCAGGGCAGCATGGAGAGATGGCATGACTCCATTCGTCCAAGAACCTACATCCTCGTGTATTACAGCGACCTGATGCCAATTCCACGACTGTACAATAGCAGCTACGGCTCTCATTTGTGCAAATTTGTCGTGTGAAGCTCCAAGTAGAAACGGCCACCTCTCTGTTGCCCATTCTGGAGTTGTGTCCGCAAAAGAAAAAATGGGAACTTGGTTTTTGGTGCTGATATCAGCAACCAATGCGGTCTCTTCCCATGTTTGCGGTCCTAGAATGGCCTGTACTTGTTGTGTGTTGATAAGATCCATAGCTGTATATGCAAATCCATATGGCTATATGAGCTGCTTATATGATGTTCCACATTTATTTTAAAAGCAAATATTTTCTAATGTAAACATAGAGATGAAAAGGAAGGAAGCTTTATTTTTTTATACATGATGGACTAGTTCTGTAACCCTTTTTCTTTTTCTTTTTTTTTTGATCCGCAGATTTGCAATTTACTAATTGTACTATATCTTAATAAAGCTCGCATTGATCAATATGACTTGAATTTGCGTTACCTAACCTGATCAGGTAAACTGGTTTCGAGTTTTCTTAAATAGTCTCCAAGTCAAATTTGGATGTATATGTTTACCACCATTTTTTTCAAGGCAGATCTAAAGAATATCCCCTACCTAACTATATAGATAGCTTTAATTTCATCTTCAAACAGTATTTTATATCAATTTAATCTTTAAAATTTCAGAGAATTCCCAATTAAAGACTCGATTTATCTATATTTCCATCTAAATTACAGTTTTTTTTTTTAATAATAAATAACATGATTTTGACAGAAATCTAATTAATTGCAATTAAAATAATTTAAAAGTAAAATTAATATAAAAATAGTTCACTTTGCTTGCAGGACAAGAGGAAAATGTGATGTATTTATATAAATTGATATGATATGATGGAACCTCATGAGTCTAATAATATCTTGGAGAATTTTCAAAATTCAAATATTATTTTCTAATATATATATATATATATATATATATATTTCAATTCCTTTTTTTTTTTTTTTTTTCTGTTTATGGTTGTTACTATTAAAAAAGAACAAAAAGGATCTAATTACAAATAGATTTAAAAACATAAGGACTAATCAATTATTTTTTGAAATTAGAAGGACTATTTAATTTGTTTTGAAAACTAGAGGGACTAATCTGTAATTTACTTCATCGAAATGGGTCTGATTTTGATAGAAATTCATAAAAGTATGATGATTGCCCTTGATCATCGGGAGTCCTACATTGTACAATTTCTAATTAAATAGAAGAGTATAAAATTATATATCTTCAACAGTACTGCTTGATCTATATTTTCCTTCTCACTATTAATTATTAGCCCAAACACAATTTTGGCATAGAGATATGTTTCACAAGCTTATATGTTAGTTTCTGTTTAACATACAGAGAGATAAAATGGCAACACAAACGAACCTGCAAGTGCTGCTCGGAGAGGTTTCCTTTGATCGGAGTCTTTTACGTGCAGAATCAAAGTTTGACTTTGGTAATGATACAAATCCTCCTTTGCAATTTCCATTGCTACTATTTCTTCTTTACCAATACGGGAGCTTGTGTCCACAATGGCCCCAATGACCCCATTAACATGGTTGTTGCCCTTTCTCCCACTGCTTCGATCATGAGCTGCTGTACTACTACTTCTGCTACTTGGTGTTAATAATAACACTACGGCCAATAATGAGAGCACAAAATGAACAACAGCCATTTCATTTGTTCAAGAATATTATTATTGGCAAACTAGAAGTACTAATGCTTCAGCGTTAAACATATATATATCTATATGCCAAGAATTCTCTACTTTCTTTCTTTTCCATTATTCGGTCAACTGTAAGATTTTTCTCTTCTTTATAATTTTCCGAACTCCTGCTCTTGTCAAAGTCTGCTCAGAAAATATATAAAAAGTCAAGCATCAACTATATATATATATATATATATATCCCTCCGGGTAGAAGACATTAATATTTTTGAAGGAGCACTGGAATAAACTTGGAGTATAGCTAGGGAATATATAATGTAGAATGAGATATGTATAAAAATTCAAATAAAATAGTACACACAGTGGGAAAAAAAAATTGTATAAAAGAATATTGACTTGATCACGGGAGGAGTGATCAGAAATTCATCTCCGATTTAGTCTTGCATTTACAGGACTTTAGACCAAGTCAAAGGCATAATAAACAAGTAGGATACACGAAGCATAAATTAATGCTTAATTAACCGAATAATTTAGTTTTGATTAAGAAACTCTTACAAGTGCTCTCAAGCAATTGTACACAAATTGTTTTTCGAATTGTGAATTTTTTAGTGAAAAAAAAAAGGGTATCAATTTCCTTTATTGGACTGGATATCATGCACCTAGAAATTTGGTAAGGTATTAGGAAACTCCGTTATACTTTCCTTGCAATTAAGTGCAGCCTTCATGCTGCTTGAATCATTCAAGACGGCTTGAATTCTAATATCACCCTTTGTACCTGACATCCTACGTACCACACAATTTTGCTCAATTTGCTTCTTTTTTTTTTCCAAAAAAGAAAAAAAGGATAGATTCCATTCTTTTGTTATTTCTTTTTAATTATCACAATTTTTTTTAAAAATATATATACATTTCTTTTTCCATATTAAAAGGAAAGGTCAAATATAGTAGAATACTATAAATTATACTGCCAGTCCCGTCCTAAGTCTATACGCGTCGATCCAGAGCATATCTTTGTACTGAAATGTTCTTGAAGTTGGATTCTTGACGTTAGAATCTTGACTCAACCTAGATTCTTGCTCTAAAGGTTGGAATTCAATGATAACTCTATATGCGTTTGTTATTTACCACAGCTTGACCAATGCGTTGATGAAAAATTGTCCTTAATTTGATCCTTTTTTCTTTGAGCCTTGAGCCTTGAGCCATGCATGTGTCCGTTGAATGAACGTGCTTCGGCACTAGTGGTCTTTGTTCTGTTTGATTTACGTGTTTTTTGGTAGAGGATTCATTGGTGGAGTACTTTTTTGCATTTTGAAGAAAAATTGGACTTCAACAACCTATTTGGAAGAAAATTGAACTTAATTGGGGTAATTATGGATGCTTTTAATTAAGTGGTACGTGGCTTATCAAAGATTAGGGATTATTACTCAAATTTAGGGTTTATTAGAAATTGACCTTAAGGGGCAATGCTTCTGTTGTCAATATCTCTGGGAAGATAGCAAATTATGATTCTAGGTAGCGAACGAATGGTTTGTTTGGAAGAACGAGTGAAAAGTTAGGATTAGATTTATATGCATATTTTTAAGGATTTTTTTTTGAAATTTAATTTATTTACTTGGACATACACTACAAAAAAAAAAAAGCCAATTAGCGGTAGATTATTCCGTCGCTAATCGTTCTAAATTCGTCGCTAATTGCCATTAGCAACGGACCATAGATGGACAACTTGTCCGTCGTTATTTTGCTCGTCGCTAATTTTTAGTGAGAAAAAAATCCATTCCATCGCTAAATTAGCGACGGAATTTTTGTCGCTAATCCTTCACTCGTTTTCATCGTAGAACTGTCGTGGCTTCCATCACTATTCCATTGTTATATTTTCAAAAAAATAAATATTTTTTCATTTTATTTTGGTTTTTTAAAAATTATTAATATTGTATATAATATTTAATAATTAATATTAGATGTAATAGTAAACAATTAAAAGTAATAATGTATAGATTTAAAATAAATTAATTTTAACGAGTAACATTCGGTAGTACGTTCGGTAAAATAAAATAAAGTTACTAAATGTTTATTTTATCACTCATCCTCACTCATCCCGCTTGTCTAATTCCATATCGTCCTTCGTTATTGTGTGGAGGGCTCGACGGGAGGATCGGGTTGAGGTCGAAGGGGAGGTCGTATGTAAGGAACGGTAGATTGATAATTGGTCGACGGATTTATAAGCAACCAATAAATTAAAAATTTCTTAAGAAATAATCAACAAAATTTAACTAAAGTACATACAAAATTATATATTTTAAAAATTAACTTAAAACAAACAACTAAAAAAATTCACCTAATAATTAACACAAATAATTAATTAATTAAAATAACAACTAAAGATTAAATAATTAAATTTTAATCTTAAAAATAAATAAATTAACAATAAATCAACCTTAACTAAATTACTTTAAAATTACATTAATAAAATTAAACCTAAAAAATTAACATAATTAAAAATTTTTAGGTTAAAATTAACCTAAAAATTAACATAATTAAAAAATAACACTTAACAAAATTAATCTAACAATTAAGAAAATTAAATAAACAATTAAAAAATTTACACTAATAATTAACAAATAAATTAACATAATAATAAAATTAATAACATTCAAACAATTAATCAACTAACAAATAACAAAATTAAACTAAAAGTTTATAACATGCATTTAATTTTTTTTAAAAAGAGTTAGAGAGAGAAAAGTTTACCAAAGAGATCAAGGAGAGAGAGTAGAGATTTCGTTGGATTTTGAGGGAAAAAGATGCATCTCACCGAGTTGAATGGTTTGGGGAGTCACTTGGTGGCAAGGCATGGCGTGGGTGATGATTTTTTGGCCGACGATGGATTGTTGGTGGAGGAGAGAGGGGACTAAATGGGAAAGAAGAAGAGAAACTGGGTATTTATAGGCTCGGAGATTAGCAATCGAATTGCCAATTTGTCGCTAATTTGAAGCTGTGTTGATGAAAAAATTTCCACCTAAAATTTCAAAATAGCAACAGATTTTAATCCGTCCCTATTTTGAACGTAAAATTAGCGATGGATTTCATAATGCATCACTAATTGGCGATTTTGGTGAAAAAATTCTCATGAAATCGCACAAAGTAGCAACGGATTTTCAAATTCATCGCTATCTTTGGTTTCAAATTAGCGACGGATCACTATTCTATCACTAATTTAAACCCTAAAAGGTAACCCATTATCTTTAATTTAGCGACGGAATAAATCTATTGCTATTTATTGATTGAAAATGGTGTTTTTTTTCACCCCGTAATTTTATGACGGAATTAATTCCATCGTTGAGTTTCCTCGATATTCCGTTGCTAATTTGTCACAAAAATACCTTTTTCTCGCTCGTCGTTAATTTATCTCTAATTTGAGATAGAATAGTATCCGTCGCTAATTGTCAATTTTCTTGTAGTGATACCGTATGTGCTTTTGATTGAGAATTATTATTTATTTGTATGTAATTATAAAACGACTAAGTAGTTGAGAACGAGTACGTCTTTTTATTATTTTTATTTTTTTAAGCATTGCATGAAGATAAATATAGGTGACATGATCACGGATGCAAAGTGGCCATCAATTGTAATTCATGTTTTTTTTTTTTGTGTATTCAATATTCATACTCCTACCTATAAAATTTCACAACGACACTTTACTCCTTTGAGGTTGTTCTAAGTCTAAATTTAGGAGTTGTTTGAACAATACATGAAATACGTTTTAAGCACTCGCTACTTAATTAAGCACAAATAAGAACTTATGACTCCAAAACAAAAAAAGAAATTATTTTTATTTCTATTTAAATTTACTTAAGGACTACTACTTAATTAAGCACTAATAAGAGAAACATAAAATAAAAGTGCGGACCAAGAAAATCTCCAACAAAACTAGACAATATAAAGATATATTTGTTTATGAAAATCCCACATAAATACGGGGCGGTAGCTTGTTTTCTTGTACGCATCATAATATTATCCCATGTGGAAGGTTTAAAGGAATTTCGTTTTGATTTTTTTTTTTAATTTTTGTTTAGAATAAATATGGATAAATTATCAACAAAAAAAAAAAAAACACAATGTAGTTAGATGGCGAAAACACTTTACTCTCATATTTTTTTGAAATTACACTTTACATCATTTGGTTTTAATATTTGTTTTAGAAAACACCCTACATTATAATTTCGTTCTCAATGGAAAATTTTTAAGTAAAAAAAAAAATCCAAATTATTATAAGTTTTTTACATGAACATTATATCACATCTTTATTCTCTTTATATTTAGTTTATTTGCTATGTTCTATGTCTTATTATGATAATCTATGCTCATATTCGAGTGAAAGACATAAACTAGGATTTCAAAATAATTGTGCTTAAATGTTAGAGAATTCCAACCCTTTTGAACTTCTTGTAGGTTTTGCGAAGTCTTAAAGTTGGATTTAGAAAAAAGTGATATCTATAAACTTTGTAGAGGACATCTCAAGCTTTTTAGAATGATACAATAGGTCAAAATCCAAGTTCGATTATGCCTCTAAACAATATTTCATATTCTAGGTTAGAAAGTTGACCCAAATCCTATTTGAAGTCCAAATCAATTATGGAATTTAATCTATATCTAGATTTTTTTCAAAACACTAATTAATGCAAGGCTAAGCCAATGGAATACTTGAAAGGAATACCTATAACTCTTATGAAGGTTCTGATTCTAAAATAGATTGGTCTCATGGAGGAATTCAACTGTAAAGACGAATCCTAAGGTTGGACATATAGGTTGAGTCAATGTTAGTATTTAGCTCATAACCAAAGTTGTGGATCTCTAATTGATGCAATACGTAATGTGCTTGGAAAGATAAGAAATAGGGCTACAAATTTTATGAATAAATGAAACTCTAATTTGGCATGTATCTAGTCAATTTAAGCTGATTGTTAAAGATTCATAAGCTTAATTAGCTAGGAACACGAGATGAAGCAATA